TAACGGACACAGTCTTTTGATGTTGATGTAGAATATTTATAGTTTTTATGGGCTTATGTAACTACATTGTTCGCCTAATTCATTGCATCAATTTGTTCTCAGACTAAACGATTTTACGTAAGGGGGAGCATGACAATTACAATCAGCAATAAATTCAGAAATTGACAAAATTACCAAAATTGTATCTAAAAAGTACAATATTGCTCATTCATTGGACTGGCCGACAAAGCGGAATGAAATAACGAGGCTAATTTAATGCTAAAATAACAAGAAAAGAGGCAAACTTCGGCGAGCCGAAGTCATTTTCCAATTTTAATCAAATTAAAAGCGTAATTCTGATGTGTCAAATAATAAAAAAGTCAAAGGAATTTCTAAAAAAAAGTTTTTAATATTTTTATGTTCCTATGGGAGCTTTATGTTATAGTCGTCCGATTTTTATGAAATTTAAACCGTAATTCTGAAATATTTAACCATTATGTCAAAGAACTAAAAAAAAAGTTAAAAACAGAAGAGTTAATTTTTTTTTTTTTTTTCCGATTGTTCCTATGGGAGCTATATGCTATAGTCGTCTCATCCGGCTCGTTCCGACTTATATATTACATGCAATTCAATGACAACTTTGGGAAAGTTTCATGCAGATAGCTTTAAAACTGAGAGATTAGTTTGCGTAAAAACGGACGGATAGACGGACATGGCTAGATCGACTCTCCTAGTGATGCTGATCGAGAATATATATACTTTATAGGTTCGGAAACGTCTCCTTCACTGCGTTGCAAACTCCTGACTGAAATTATAATACCCTCTTCAAGGGTATAAAATCAAACGCTTGAGCAGCGTGATGACTAGTTTTTCTATTGTAAATAAAAACTAGAAAGGAAGCAAACTACCCTTGCAGCTATTGCAAAAATGAAATATTCTTGAAAACATTAAAATTATGATTTGCGGGTCAATTATTCGATAGTTCCTATGACAGCTATATGATATCGTTTTCGGAATTTAATAAAATTTAAACTGTCAAACTGTCAAATTATTAAGAAGTAAACAAACTTTTTTTTTAAAATAAAAAAGTTACATTTTTAAACAAATTGTTTTTTTTTGTTCCAATAGTAGCTTTTAGTTATAGTCGTCTGATTTTAATAAACTTTACTATATGTCGAAGAACTAAAAAAAAATGTAAAACAAGAAAGGATATACCCTTGCAGCTATTGCTAGAATTAAACATTTTTGAAAACATTAAAATTATGATTTACTTGCGTATATGTTTAAAAACATTGAAACTATGATGATTTTCAGCTCAATTACTAGATACCTCTTTTATATATTTGTATTATTTCTGTGGGAGCTATATGATATAGTTGTCCGATTTTAATGAAATTTAAACCGTAATTCTGAAATATTTAACCATTACTATATGTCCAAGAACTAATAAAACAAGAAAGCAAGCAAACTTCGGCAAGCCGAAGTTCATATACCCTTGCAGCTATTGCAAGAATTAAACATTTTTGAAAACTTTAAAATTATGATTTACTTTCGTATATGTTCAAAAACATTGAAGCTATGAAGATTTGCAGCTTAATTATTTGATAGTTATTTTATATATTTTTATTATTTCTATGGGAGCTATATGATATAGTCGTCCGATTTTGATAAAATTTAAACCATAATTCTGAAATATTTAACCATTGCTATATGTCGAAGAACTAAACAAAAAATTAAAAAACAGCAAAGTTATAATTTTTTTCAATTATTTTTTCGATTGTTCCTATGGGAGGTATATGCTATAATCGTCCGATTTTGATGAAATTTAAACCGTAAATCGGAAATACTTAACCATTACTTAATGTCGAAGAACTAAACAAAAAAAAGAAAAAACAGAAAAGTTATAATTTTTTTTCATTTATTGTTCCGATTGTTCCTATGGGAGCTATATGCTATAGTCGTCCGACTTTGATTAAATTTAAACCGTAAATCGGCAATATTTAACCATTACTAAATGTCGAAGAACTAAACAAAAAATTAAAAAACAGCAAAGTTATAATTTTTCATTTATTTTTCCGATTGTTCCTATGGGAGCTATATGCTATAGTCGTCCGATTTTGATGAAATTTAAACCGTAAATCGGAAATATTTAACCATTACTAAATGTCGAAGAACTAAACAAAAAATTAAAAAACAGCAAAGTTATAATTTTTTTTCATTTATTGTTCCGATTGTTCCTATGGGAGCTATATGCTATAGTCGTCCGATCCGGCTCGTTCCGACTTATATACTACCTGCAATAGAAAGACAACTTTTCATGCAGATAGCTTTAAAACTGAGAGACTAGTTTGCATATAAACGGACGGACAGACGGACGGACAGACGGACATGGCTAGATCGACTCGCCTAGTGATGCTGATCAAGAATATATATACTTTATAGGGTCGGAGATGTCTCCTTCACTGCGTTGAAAACTTCTGACTGAAATTATAATACCCTCTGCAAGGGTATAAAAATTTAAAAACAACAAAGTTATAATTTTTTTTTTTTGTATTTTTTTGCGATTGTTCCCATGGGAGATATATGATATAGGCGTCCGATTTTGATGAAATTTAAACCGTAATTCTGAAATACTGAATCATTATTATATGTCGAAGAACTAAAAAAAAATATTAAAAGACAGCAAAGTTATAATTTTTTTTTATTTTTTTTTTCGATTGTTCCTATGGGAGCTATATGCTATAGTCGTCCGATCCGGCTCCTTCCGACTTATACACTACCTGCAATAGAAAGACAACTTTTCATGCAAATAGCTTTAAAACTGAGAGACTAGCTTGCGTAGAAACGGACTGACAAACGGACGGACAGACGGACATGGCTAGATCGACTCGCCTAGACTCGCTGATCAAGAATATATATACTTTATTGAGTCGGAGATGTTTCCTTCACTGCGCTGCAAACTTCTGACTGAAATTATAATACCCTCTGCAAGGGTATAAAAACAGCAAACTTATAATTTTTTCATTTATTTTGCCGATAGTTCCTATGGGAGCTGTAGTCGTCCGATTGGACTCGTTCCGACTTATGTACTACCTCCATTGTAACGTACACACCTAGAAGGTGAAGTATTAGTAAGGTTGTAGTTGTCAGCGACATATTCTGAATAATTAATATTAAGTTGAGACATAACATTAAGTCATAGCTGAGTTCCAAGCCCGGGTGGCAACGCTAGCCGACATTTAGTATGGTCATAGAAAATACCAGAAAGTAAGGAATATAACAGAAATCCCGAAGGTGAGAAAAAGGGAGCTTGGGGTTAGGTGGCCACACAACGAGGGAGTTTACGGTCTCTTATGTCGGAATGGTAAGACGGGACAGACGCGTCTCCCGCGGTAATTTTTCTTATAATTCGCGAGACAGCACGCGACAAAAACAAACAAGTGGATTGATCAGAGCTCCAAGGTAATATTCCTCTCCGTCGAAAGAAGACGGTGTAGCGGACTCGTAGGAGGATATTAAATGAATAAAATCTATGAAAATAATAAAATGTGTGAAAGTGGAATCTCTCGTTTGTGATTTTATTCGTAGTTGATCGGTAGTTTCCCTCCTCGTAGTGCACGCGACCCGTTCGTTGACACCCGTCCCGACTGGTCTAATACCCTAGCTTTCGTCCTCGTAGTGCATGTGACCTGTACGTGGACACCCATTCCGTCTGGTATAATACCCTAGCTTCCCTCCTCGTAGTATTTGCGACCCGCACGTGGAAACCCGTCCCGACTGGTCTACTACCCTAGCTTTCCTCCTCGTAGTGCATGCGACCTGCGCGTTAACATCATTCCCGACCGGTCGATCGTGTCACCATCCGTTTCCCTTCAATCTGCCTCCGCCCGACAAATTCTACCCGGCTTGGCCTCGCCCGAAGGTCCAGCCCGGTGAATTTTTGGCCTCCGACAATCAAAGTGACATCACCCACCGTTCCTTCTCTCGCGAAATAGTTTTCCCAGGCTTGACCTCGCCCGAAAGTCCAGCCCGGTGGATTTTACGCCTATAACACGAGGCTTAGACGCCCGCAAAGATTTCCTCCCGTTGGATTTGTAACTCCGAAATAGGACACGATGCGATCAACTCCGTCATAGCTCTCTCTCACGACATTCATAAGAACCTTCGGCGCGACCCCCTAAGCTACTCATTCACGCGTTGAATGAAACTCCCTAGTCCGGTGTTTACAAATTCTGACTGAAATTATAATACCCTCGGCAAGGGTATAAAAAACTATTCGTAGTAGCTAGAAAATAATAATAAAATGCTTTTTAAGAAAGTATTGCCGTTGATGATAAGAATTGCTCAATTGCTTGGTGCAACACCAAATCAAAACTTAAAAGTATATTTTCAATTACGGCACTGCTTAGTTCGAAGATGAAAATGTTATAATGTATAAGAAATGTTTTTTTGCATTTAAAGGTAAGAATTGCACACCTTTAAACGTTAAAATTAGCGAGACATGTCTCTCAATAAATGAGGCTAAAAATGTAGGGTAATAATTCCATTAGGGTCATAAACGTCTCCTAACTGATTTATCAAAATATAAGTTACAGAATAGAACTAATTTCTAGTTTAACAATTCGATTTGTAAAACTACTTTTAAAGAAAAATGTTTACGTTTGAGTGAAAAAAGTAGTAGTAACTATAGTATTTAAATAAAAAATTATTAAAAATAATGGTAAAGTTTATGATGCTGAATAAAAACAAGTTAATTTTGTGAATTTGACTTTTCATGTAAACTACTTTGAAGACTTAAATTTGTTTCAACCTCAATACAGTCTATAGTCCCTGGTGTTAAAATTCATAAAGGGTGTTAAAAAATATACTGAAAATTTTCAGCAGCCACTGCGTTGCTGAACTGCTCAAATTTCAGCAAGTTGAATTTGTATGAAACAGCTGACGAATTTCAGTATGTTCTTTCGAATTTGCAGCAATTCTGTAATTAAGTCGTGTCGGGACTACCCGAATTAATCTTACGATTTTAAAATGTAATTTTACAAAAATTGCATGACAACCAGGCAATAAATTAAACAAAAAGAATATAGTTTGTATTTACCTTTGGAGGAAGATGGGATTACTCTTTCTGGTGCTATAAAGGGATGCTTGTCGTAATTGGGATCCTCAACTTCTTGACATCGGTACGAAAGATTCCGAAGTATACATACGCAATTTTCAACTGTTTTATTTCCAATATTATTTTTCTCAATAGCTGTTCTTACAACATAAAGAAGGCATTCTACTAATTGTTCACAATTTCGAAGACATCCTCTTGCATGTTCTCCAGCAGAACTGACATTTCGTAAAACACCAGAAGCATTTCGAAATACCGTAGAAAAACACGTATCTCCACAACAAACAGCATCCCAACCGGAATGCGGCTTGATAACGCTGCAGACTATAGCAGCAAGTGCTTCATCAATAATTGACCTTTTCAAGTCTTCACAGGACGACATATTCCATAAAACTCCAGTCACCAATTCTTTCACTTCTGTTTCTTGAGACCGGCAAAGTAGATTAACCAAGGCGTCTATTCCACCAGCGTTCTTTATTCCACGTTTGTTTTCATCATTTTGTCTGCCGTAAGATAAATTTCGCAGGGCACCACATGCATTTCTAAAAGTACAGAGAAATCTAAAGTTTAGTAAAAGTTTAAGCTTCTATATCAGAAATATTTTTTTATTTAAAAACGGGAATGAAAATTAGATTTGGTGTACACTAATTAAAGTAAATTAAAACAAGGAAGCAATCTTAGGCAAACCGAAGTTTGGTTAATATACCCTTGCAACTTTTGCAAAAATTTTTTTTGCTTTATGTTTAACACCAGTGACGCTATTATTTGCTTCAACATTTTTTTGATCGTTCCTAGGGCAGCTATTTGTTATCTTAAAGCATTTTATAAAAAATGTAAAAACAGCGAGGTTAAATATTTTTTTTCTTGTATGATATCGTCGTCCGATTCTAACAAAATTAAAAAGGTAATTTAAAATATTAATAAACAAGAAATTATTCCTCCTATGGGAGCTTTTCAGATCCGCCAACTCAGAAAATAATTATTTTTAAATACTTTGTGATAGGTTAACGTGTAAATTATATTATTACCTTATTTTTTGATGTTTTATGAACAAACCGCATAATAAAATTGATTATTATAAAATTTTTAAAATTTTATTTTGTGGTTTTATTGGGAAGCTGCATGCGTTGTCATGGTACGAAAAAAAAAAAACAAGTTTTCCTTGGTACTTTTTTTTAGCATGCTTTTTTGTGTTTGTTTAAATATGGTAGGATAGGTATTAATTCAAAGTTAAATTTAAGTTTTTTTTTCTTATTACCGCTTAATTTATTGTTCTATTTGTGCGAAACGTGTTTTGTTTGCACCATTTTCATCGCTTTCGGAAACTCTGGTCTCAACACTATTTGTGAAAATTTTACAAAACTGACACCAGAAGTTTCTAGCACTATTTAAAAAGCGGCATACAAACATTTGAAAATGTGTATTTGTGGCCGCTAATGCCACTTCTTCAATTTCAGCGTTAAACTAGTATAACTAGCCTTTGTCAATAGGGGACAGTTGCCAGTCAACTGTTTTTTTTTTTTTTGGGGAACGAAAGGGACCAAAAGAATGAAAATTTTCCTATCTTGAAGGGAAATTCGAAAATGTGATCAAATTCACTTCCGATTGAAAACCGAAACAGAGTTAATATACTTTATATGGTTGGAAATATCTCCATATCAAATTCACTTCCGAGGGAAACCCGGAACAGGCCTGATATACTTTATATGGTCCGAAATATCTCTTCCGCTGCGTTAAAAACTTCGGACTGAAATTATAATACCCTTTTCCAGAGTATAACAAGAAAGTGAACAAACTTTGGCTGAAGATTATATACTGTTGCAACCATTAAAAAATAAAATATTCTATAAAACGGCTACATATCGATTTTTACGCGTGTAAATTTTAGAGCTCCATCGATTGGCAGCTACATTAGATCGTTGTCCAAAAAAAATTAAAAGAAAAGTTCTGAAATAGTAAACCGTTACAATAACATTACCATGAAAACAGCGAAGCTATAATTTTTTCATTTCCTATTGTGCTATATAGTATAGTCATCTGATCCTGCCCGTTTCATCGAGATAGCTTTAAAATACAGAGACTAGTTTGCTGGCATACGATCATGGCTAGATCGTATCTAAAAGCGATGACGATCTAGAATACATTTAATTTATAGGGTCGGAAATGTCTCCTGCGCCGCGTTGCAATCTTCTGACTGAAATTATAATACACTCTGCAATGGTATACAAACTGTATATTATATGTAACCCAAAATCAACGTCCAGAACCAGAAAACTCTATTAACGAAGTACATTTCTTAACAGAATTAAGATTAATTAATTAATTAAGAAATTAAATTCATAGTAAATTGGGACGATCCATTTCAGAAGGGGGAGAGTTATCCAACCCGTGAAACCAGTCCATTTACGGCATTTATAAACAATGTTTATACCCTTGAAGAGGGTACATATATTCTTGATCAGCATCACTAGGAGAGTCGATCTAGTCATGTCCGTCTGTCCGTCCGTTTCTACGCAAACTAATCTCTCAGTTTTAAAGCTATCTGCATGAAACTTTTCCAAAAGTTGTATTTCTTTGCAGGTAGTATATAAGTCGGAACGAGTCGGATCGGACGACTATAGCATATAGCTATAGAAACAATCGGAAAAAAATAAAAAAAAAATTAACTTTGCTGTTTTAAAATTTTTTTTTTAGTTATGGACAAATATTTTAGAATAACGGTTTAATTACCCTTGCAGCTATTGTACGAATTAAATATTTTTGAAAACATTATAATTATGATTTACTTGCGTGTATGTTTAAAAGCATTGAAGCTATGATGATTTACAGCTCAATTATTTGAGTTCCTATGGCAGCTATATGATATCGTTTTCCGACTTTATAAAATTAAAAGCTTAATTCTGAACTGTCAAATAATTAAATAATCAAATAGAATTTCTAAAAAAATTTCAAAATAAAAAAGTTAAATTTTTGTTTTCCATGGGAGCTATATGTTATAGTCGTCCGATTTTAATATAATTTAAATTGAAATTCTGAAATATTTAACTATTACTATAAGTCGAAGAAATAAAAATAAAAGTTAAAAACAGCAAAATTATAATTTTTTTCATTTAATTTTCCGGTTGTTCCCATGGGAGCTTTATGTTATAGTCGTCCGACTTTGATGAACCGTAATTCTGAAATATTTAACTATTACTATATGTCGAAAAACTAAAAAAAAAATTAAAAAACAGTAAAGTTATACATATATATATTTTTTTTCGATTGTTCCTATGGGAGCTATATGCTATAGTCGTCCGATCCTGCTTGTTCCGACTTATATACTACCTGCAATAGAAAGACAACTTTTGGGAAGTTTCATGCAGATAGCTTTAAAAGTGAGGGACTAGTTTGCGTAGAAACGGACGGACAGACGGACGGATTGACGGAAAAGGCTAGATCGACTCTCCTAGCGATGCTGATCAAGAATATATATACTTTATAGTTGCAAACTTCTGACTGAAATTATAATACCCTCTGCAAGGGTATAAAAATAAAAAGATTAAAAAATAAATAAGAAGAACTTGAACTTTTATTATCATTTGACATTGTATCCATTTTCACAGACAACATAATGGAAAAATGGAAGGACATATCGGTACTTACAAATATACCAAAGCCACAGTTCAAAATAATTTTGCTAACCTAAAATATGCTTGTTACTGAAATACAATATATAACTATAAGTGTAAGCTTTTACAAAAACGATCTAAATAAAATCAATCAAACAAAAGGTACATGAGCCGAGAACAACTTGTTTTTTTTCGTTTTAAAAAAGAATTTAATACTTACTTATGTATTTCTGGAGATTCATAAGACAGCAATCGAACTAATGGTGGTATTCCTCCAAGAGATCTTGTACGTTGTTTGTTTGGGTCATCCATGTAGCATAAATGTTGTAAATATGCTGCAGCATTTGCCTTTATAGCACTGTTCGGATTGCTCAAAAAACTTATAACTTCAGAAAGATTTGGATCCCGCCACCTCATCGTTGAACAAAGATCATTTTCTGATCCTCCAATGTAGTCATCTTTTTCTCCCAACCGGTGAGGCACATTATTCAACGAACTCATGGCAAATTGTGGTAATTTAAATTCAGCAGGATTATCAAACTTAAGACATTGGGAATCTGCTACTACATCGGACACATTTAGGTGGGCATTATAGGTTCTTCCAGAAAATGGTTTAATATTTGAAATTGTGCTTTGAATTCCTGTGTAGTTAGCTTCTGACGTATAACAGTAAGGTACAACGGCTTCATCAGTGTACTCAGATTCCTCTCTGCAATGTATACCAGCTACACCATATTCTTCCGTATCCTCAAATTGGCCTGCTTGTACATATCTTACTGTCGGTGCTAATGAATGATTTTCAATAGCTGGAATCGAAATATCTCCAGAAGTGTTCTCAATTTTATTTTTGGGACCTAGAAGCGAACAAGTTGGGGCAACTTGGGATATGGCACTAATTCCAGGTGGTTTTGTTATATATATAGGCGTGTTTGTAAATCCTGATGCCGAAAATTCTTCAAAATTTTGAAAAGATGTATATTGGGCTTGTGTATTTCCTGACTCGGGCACCAAAGATAGATCCATGTTCATGTTATGTATTGGATTCATATTTAAACTGAAATAAAAATGTCAGACTATAATTGATTTTCAAAATGTTAGATAATACTTGGTTTGAATAATGTATTACATTGTGCAACAAAATAAGACCTTTGTTTTTTTTCATTCATGAAAAAATAGTGTTCGTCATTTGAGTATTGTAAAGATATTTGTTAAGCTGTTACGTGCCAGGACACTGATAGCTGTGAGACCGGACAATGTATAGTCATTGCATGTATTTTTCTCATCAATTAATAATGCCAGACTATTGAAAACGGCTCGGCATTAACAGCTCTTTTTTAATTAAAAATCATGTTAATAACCAAATCATGTTATCAACCCGGAAACTATTACATTCTTTCGCCTTCATGGCGAATTGGAATTCGGCACATTTGGAATAAACTACTAAACAGCAAATCACATGTCGTTTAAATAAATGAACTTTCAAAATGGTCGGGGTTCACAAGTTGATTTTATTACTCCTTTGCACTCGCAAACAGACAGTTTTCAGTGTGCAGATATAGAATCTGGCTATTAGTTTCCGTCGGAGAATTGCGATTTATATTATTTTTGAGAATCAACGACAAATGAAACACACTTCGGCAAGCACAGAAATAAAATATTTTATAAAACGACAAAATTCTAATGGCAACTATATAAAATGGTTTTACGAATTTTATAAAATTTGAACCGTAGTCCAAAACAGTAAACCAACGCTATATATCGGGTTTATTAATTTATTATTAAATTAAAAAACAACGAAATATGATTAATTTAAAGTTATTTTTCCGATTGTTCCTAATTGATATAAAATGATATATTCTTTATTTTTTTGTTTGATTATATCATACCGAATGGTCAAACAATTTTTTTTGCTTTTTGTACATAAAATATGTCCTCGGTGATTGATTTGCCTTTTAAACTTAATTAGAAGAAAGGATATCCGCATTTATATTTATAAAGTCGCGGCAAAGTTAATAAATCTTAATTTGTAAACAGCGAAAAAAAATCTTTTTTTCCATGAATTTTTTTGAACCTAAAACAAGGATTTCACGTAGGGTTTTTACTACAACTTTAACATTAAAAACAAGATAAGAAGCAAACTACGGCAAGCCGAAGTTTATATACCCTTGCAGCTATTGGTAAAATTAAATATTCTTTAACATATCTAAATTTTGATTTACACTCATGTATGTTTAAAAACATTGAAGCTATGACGTCATTCTGAAATCTAAAACCATTTCAATGTTGAAAAAAAATTTCCAAATATATTAAAAAATAATAAGTTAATTTATTTTCCTTTTTTGTATATTTCGATAAATAAAAAGTAAAAAACAACAAAGTTATAATTTTTTCTTTCCGATTGTTCCTATGGAAGCTATATGCTATAGTCGTCCGATCTGGCTCGTTCCGACTTATATACTACCTGCAATAGAAAGACAACTTTTGGGAAAGTTTCATGCAGATAGCTTTAAAACTGAGAGACTAGTTTGCATATAAACGGACGGACAGACGGACGGACAGACGGACATGGCTAGATAGTGATACCAATTAAAAATATATATACTTTATAGGGTCGGAAATTTCTTCTTCACTGCGTTGCAAACTTCTGACTGAAATTATAATACTCTCTGCAAAGGTATAACAAGAAGGAACGTTGTAGTCAAGTGCCCCGACTGCTAGATATCTATTACAAAATGTAAATACCTAAAGAATTGGGTTTTAGAGTTTGTTCTGCTTGTCTTGTGCGTTGCAACGTTCGGCTGTTCGTGGGTACTCTTTGGTTCGTCTCCGCTAATCTAAAGTTTTGATAGAACTGTAGCAACAACAACACAATAGTTTTTGACAAATTACTGTTGTTACTGTCTAGAAACGAGCAAGAACTGACTCGTCCCTGGAGTTCAGATCATGGGAAACTGGTCGGACTTCAGCTGATCTATCCCCGCAACTGATAGAGCAAAGAGACATCGAGCTCATCAACTCCACTTTGCGAGCGTCAGAAGAAAGGTTGCTGAAAGCGTTTTCCAGCGAAATTGACCAGAAATTCTACACTAAACTATCTGGTGCTGAGGCAGTACTGGAAATGCGAGTATGTTGAACAGTCCAGCAACTAGAGGACAACCGAGCGCTTCGACAATCTAAAACGGGAGAATAAGGAGGACCTGAAAGCCAAAGTAGGGACAGTTAAAGGGAAACTTTACGCACTCCGTGTGAAAAGCGATACCAGCGAGCAAACCACCTGAGCATACACCTTTTAGGTTTCAATTGACCGGCTGAGGGCTGCGGCATACGTTAATGAGCAACTTACGAAAGACAATCTTCAAAGAAGCTACTTGAAAATCTTGGCCACAATGATTTTAATTAAATTTGACTAAAATTGGTCAAGAGTCACGCACCTACCTATTTTACAAATACTTGTAGCTCTTTGTTATATGTATTCTTTGTTGGTGCTTTGTGGAAAGTCCTTTTATATGACCAAATATGTTGTTCTGCTTATTCCAAACACGACTTGATATTTATGACGTTTGGTTTTTTCACTAACAACCCCCCATCTGTACCTAGAAACAGGGAATATAAATCATTTAATTATGACAACTTGCAGGCTGAATTTAACAATTATGACTGAAACTTTATTTACAACTTGACATCTGCTAAAGACCAACTTTAGCTATAAAACTCTAATATTGGACAACTATTTTACAAATGTATACCAATTAAAACTAAAATTTTAAGGCCAACAGATCAGCCTTGGACTCATTCGATTCCTAAATTCGGCCTTTAAGGGTTGATAATGTTATCAAACTGAAGATTTTTACAAAATTTTTAAACAATTTAGAACTGACGTCACGAAAAACATAGCAGTCTTCAAACGTAGGTTTTTTAATAACTCGAAAATAAATCAAATCCAACGCGAAAGGTCTGAACAACATAAGTCCCAAATTTATAAAAATATAGATACCAACGTTATTTCAATACACCGACGTTATTTATTATGTTGAACAGGTCATAAATCTCGGCATAGAATTAAGCTTCACGTTGACATGGGATGATCAAATTACTGAGGCCACTAGGAAAACTTATGCTATGCTCCGCGGCTTCCATTAACCCAGAATATCAGAATGTTAGTGACCAAAACCTGTGTAATACCAACTCTCTTTTACTGCCCTGAAATTTTTGCATCCTCTGACGCGGCAAGTATGCGCAAGCGTTTAACTCAACAGCGAGATATATTTTTAACCTAGATCGCACAGAGCATGGTAGTGCTTATTAAGATTAAGTTAAATACTCTTTTATTTTTACACAAACTAATATCCATTACCTAATCGAGCGCTTGGAAATGACTGACTCCGCTAGAAAAAATAGGATCGACAGTGAAACACTTCATTATCCGAATTGTTCGCAACTAGATTCATAACAAAATTATTAACACACTTAACTTTCACTTTAAATTTTAATGTGATAATTTCGGTCAACACATAATTGTATGTAGCTTTTTATTTTAAAATGCTGCCGTGTTTTAATTTTTGACTGTTAGATTGCAAAAAATATAAGATATGTAAGATGAAATGATTAATGTTGAATATAATGTAAATTTAAATTTAAAGAACTAAAAAAAAATTAAAAAACAGCAAAGTTATAATTTTTTTTTATTTTTTTTTTCGATTGTTCCTATGGGAGCTATATGCTATAGTCGTCCGATCCGGCTCGTTCCGACTTATATACTACCTGCAACAGAAAGACAACTTTTGGGAAAGTTTCATGCAGATATCTTTAAAACTGAGAGACTAGTTTGCGTAGAAACGGAGGGACAGACGGACATGGCTAGATCGACTCGCCTAGTGATGCTGATCAAGAATATATATACTTTATAGGGTCGGAGATGTCTCCTTCACTGCGTTGCAAACTTCTGACTGAAATTATAATACCCTCTGCAAGGGTATAATATATATATAATCGATCGATTAATGCGAAACAGTGGTTGAAAATTTTGTTCAACGATTGGACTTCGTAAAACGTACACGCGGTGGTCATGCGAAAGAAATCGAGTTTCATAATTAATGTATATGTTCAAATTCGATAATAAAAAAAGTTAGTTGAAAAGTCAAACCGTTTGTTTTATTAAAAATAAGTTGAAGCGCCCCTATTGAAAAACCCTTTATTAATAATAATATGATATAACTCTTAATTACAATAAGAATCTTTCATAATCGATTTGGACTTGCACAGATTTCTGATTAAGCATAAAATGCTAATTTAAACGATATGAAATGGGTTTCATTTTTAAACGCTGAATAACATCCAAAAGCGAATTTTTAGAGATTTTACTCTAAAACTATAAAATGTGAACATAAAAACCTAGTTTGAGTTATATTTCCATAATTGTTTTGCTTAAAGAAAATATTTTAAGTAAACGTAAGTAGCCCTTAAAAATACCTTTTAGCAAATGTATTTTTAAAGCTCGTTACCGTAGCTTAAGTCGTTAGGGCGTGTGAAATCTAGCTTTTTAAGCCGTTTCCCGCTTAACTAGCGGGTTTGCCAAAATGTGGTACAACGAAAGTTTTTTCAGCTCGAGCTGCTTAAAACATCGATTTGATACGCACAACAAACAAAAATGCTGAAACCAAATGACTTTCTAAAACTCTTAAAATTCATAAATTCTTATGAAAGTGATACCTTTTGATTGCTATATTATTTATTAAGATACTTGCGCACGCTTACCGGTACTCATCGTCACTACATGTACTGCCGTCCATATGATATGTGCGGTAGGTTGGCAATGATCCTGCGCACATTTTTTGCACATCTGGCAATTGAAAGTCCAAATTTCCTTCAAACTTTTAGCGAATACAAAGTACCCTTTAAATTCAAAAAAGACAAGGGTCTGGTTTTCCAAAAAAGTTTGAAGGTAAAGAAATTGAACATTGAGCCTTTTAATCAGGTAGTTTTATTATATAAAAAAAAAGAAAGAAAGCAAACTTCGGCAAGCCGAAGTTCATATACCCTTGCAGCTATTGCAAG